AATGGTATCCTTGTGGCAAAAGAATCCATTCATTTGAAAAATATTGATTTAATTCAAAGAAACTGTATTTATTTTAAATCCGTTTCCCTTCGGATAAGATAATTGCTGCATTTAGGTGTAATTCTCGATTCTTTTGACATTTAATTACTTTAGGGCAAAGTAAAGGCATTTAGACAAAAGAAATCTTCAATTCATGTCTTTCTGTCAAAATTTAATGTTATTGCCAGAAATCCCACGGTTTTGTGCCAAACTACACTGATAAACATGGTTTATTTTAGGCAAAAGAATCCATGCATTTGAAAATTATTCTTTTAGTTTAAAGAAAGTTAACTTTTTGCAAATTATTTGGCATTTGACTAAAATAGGTGATGCATTTAAGGCAAACTCTTGATTCTTTTGGCTAAATCCTTTTTAATAACTTTATTTCAAGAACAAATTAATTTTATAGGTAATGTATTCTTATTTTTAAAATTTTAATCGATTAGGAATGTAATAAAGAAAAATACCTAATTAATAAGCTAAAATCGACTAAAATATAATTATTTCATGCAAATATTATCATTCTGTAAAACGCTTTCTTAGAACAGGAAAATAAAAATGGCTACCTATACCTTCTCCCAAAGATTAAAATTTTGTAAGAAAATAATGCGGTATTTGTCAATATGTTTTAAGACTTTAACACAAAAGCATCATAATATTAAATAAATCCCCGTGCATTTGAGCCAAAACCTACATGTCAGCAAGTCATGTCCTTCATAGATAAAACACACATATATGTAGGTTTTGGCTCAAATGCACTGGGATTAATTCAATATTAGGATGGTTTTGTGTTAAAGTCTTAAAACATATTGACAAATAAGTACTTACGGCATTATTTTCCAAAAAAATTAATCTTTGGGAGGAGAATATATCCTTCTTATTTCTTGACAGATATCCAGAGGCGGATTTCTAAAAAGGCCAGCTAGACCATAGCCTACGGCTGCAAGGTGGAAATTTCTTTGAGTTTAAGAATAATCAGTTTTTTGTATTTTGTATAAACAATGTATTTTATGTTTATGAGTGAAAGAATAATCAGTTTTTTGTATTTTGTATAAACAATGTATTTTATGTTTATGACTGTATAAACAATGTCTTTTATATTTTTAATAAAAATATGTTTTTAGTAAAAATTATTGTAGTTTTTTTTAATTTAGGCAGGCAATTTTCTAAAATCAAAGAGTTTCAGCTAAAGACATTCGGGCTTTGGTTCAAATGCCCATAGATTAAGAGCAAGAAATCCGAGTTTTGATACAAATAACAAAAGTTTTTTAATTAAACGCTTATGGATTTGAAATAAAAACTCGGATTTTGTTACAAAAAATTAAATCACTTAACTTAAATGCCAATAGATTTAAATCCAGACATCCGACTTTTGCTACAAATTCCTAATTCTTTAAGAACAAGAACCTAAGATTTTGTAGTAAGCCCGCTTTTCTTTATTTCAATTTACTTAAGCCTTTGATCCAAATCAGTACCGGGTTATTAATAAAAGCACGGGATTTAAGGACCTATAACGAAGATCTTCTTCTAAATTCATGTTTCTTTGCAACAAAGACAAATCATGAAATGATCTCAAAGAAATGACGTATTTGCTTTAAACCCTTCATTCATTTGGACCTATCCAAAGTCCCCATTCCTTTGAGGGTATGGCAGATTTCCTTGGGGCAAAGGTTTCTTTTTTTCAGTGTACTAATATTATTTTTATGACAAAAAATTTGGTAAATGTTTTTGTAGCAAATTGCTATTTCTCGACATCAACTCAAATTTTATAAAATTATCAAAAATAGAGGTACAAAAAAATTAACATGGCTTTAAATATACCTATATACACAGTGTGCAATATTCTATAAGCGGTTTTAGGGCCAAAAATGAACATTGGTCCGAAAATGGCCCCTAAGGTACCTACATGGGCACCCCTGAAGATGTATTATTATTATTTCTGAAACGGTTTGAGATAAAATAATGTATTTTTAGAAAATACATATATGTATGTATGTATTTATTAATATTTATTGTTAAATATTTTATCAATGTTTAAAAGGAGTACTTTTTTACATAGAAAACCATGAATTTTTATATTCTGCAGCCAACTTGCAAAAAAAATCACACACAAAAAATTTGAGGCTAAAAATATCCTAGTTTACCCTTCTTTAATAGACTTATAAAAACAATTTTTAAATTTTGTCAATGCATAATATTACCCACATAATATTATTATGCACTATATATTAATATATTTAATACTGGATATTCTAATTGACATGACTGCAGTTAAACCTAAGAATACTATGGTATCCACAATATGGATTTCACATAGGTAGAGAGGAACAAATCTTGCAATTTTCTTTTTGCTACATTTTATTTTTGAATTTTAAATAAAGAGGGATTTTCGTAATGCATAAACCAGGTTTATATCCCAGTAAAATGAGTTCGGGTCTGAGCTGTTTCTTTCCGAAGTATAAAACAGAATTAAGGGCCTTATAATGTTCCTATCAAGTGTTGTTTACGTATCTTTTATAATATAGATACAAATAAAAATAAAATAGGTAGGTATACAAAAAATAATTTTATATTTATATAGAGATATAGGTTTTCTTTAGTTAAATATTTCTGTTTATTTTATTGAATTCTGTTCATGACATTATTCTCTCAATAATTGAAACGCCTTTTTTAAGAAGAAACAAAACTGAAAAAACCAGATATTGCACAGACGTTCAACGCCAAAAATGTCATCAATATTTAACGATAAAAGTCAGGGTAAGCAATATTCTCGAACTTTTTAAATATCTTGGTACGAAACCCATAAGTGGCTATGCGGAAGTATTTATAAACAAAGCTTATTCGGTTGGCATTGTAATTTATAAGGCCGCTTCAAAAACAATTGGAGTTCAGAGGGTGGGTATTCCGATTGCTCTGATATTTTATTTGTTTTATTTGTATACAGGGTGATATGTAATTAATGTAATATATTAAAATGGGTAGTTGCTAAGGGTCCATAAAGAAGCACCTGAATTTTTTTTTTAATTCAAAGACTAAAAATAATTTATAATAACCTTTATCCTACCAAAAAGTACGTCACTGAAAGGCTAGGCTAATCTGGTTGCCTAACTTAATTTATTAAGTTATGGTTGGAAACAACCAGCGTTTCCAGATTCTGTCAAAAAAGTTGCCAAATTTTGTTTAAATTTAGCTTAATTACAAAAATGACAAAATCAAAAATGCTAATTGTTAATTTGGCGTTTTTATTAATTGTTTATTAGGTCAATTAAAACAAAATCTGACAACTTCTATGACAGAATCTAGTGCATTTCTTTCAAATTTTAAGTTATGTGCTCAAATTGTAAATATCTTAACTAAGAGAAGTGCTTTTGGATTTATTTACACAAATTGAATGTTTAAAGTTTAACCTGTGAACTTGTCCTAATTTCATCTGAGTAAAAAGAAAGAAAAAAAACGATGAAAAAATAAATTTTGTGGTTATGGAGTTTTTAAAATAGGTAGTAAATTTTCTAATCATTGTTAAGCTAATAGCTGGATGGGTAAATAAATACAGAAGGGTATTAGAGCTTTAAGGGCATAAAACTTTTGTATTTATTTAGTTTTTATTTATTTTTTGAAATAAAAATTTTTATTAATAATTTTTTACAATTGGCAACGCGCAGCTACTTTGATGGTTGGTATCTATGTACTCACAGAACACAAGTGTGTAACCAGTGCCGTATCACAAAAATAAAAAACTTCTAATGCATATTTTTTCTTTATCTTTGGGAAAATATTTTTTTTAAATATTTTTCCTTAAAACCTTATGTTAAAAGGTATTCAGTATTTTAATATATTACATATATTACATAAAACCCTGTATATTTTTTTATCCCTTAAAAGTTTTAAAAAACGAATTTATGTTTTTGAGTTTCTCAATTTGGGTTAAGATTGCTTTGATATTTGCTTTGTTTTTTGTTTTTAGTTTTTTATAATGGTTTACTAGGGCTATCCGCCATTTTAAAAGGTAAACTCGTCGCAGTATAATACCTTCCAGGAGGCGTGGAAATTTACTAGTATTTAGAAAAAATTAACCTACTCCATTGGCCTAAATCCTTTTAGGAAAGTAGTTAACTATAAAGAATACAGAAAAAATATTTAAAATTAAAAAAAGTTATATTTTTAATTTAATCGTAAAAGAGAAAGTTTTTATTTTGAAAACGTTAATATTTACCAATTTTTTGTTCATTTGCAGTTAAAAAAACTAAACATCTAAAAAATTAATGAATACCTGTTATAGACTTTCTGATTATAATTATAGTACAAACAAAGTAAAAAAATATATTGTGTCGCCAACCATTACTTTAGATGTTTGTTTCTTTATGAAGTAGGTAACCAGATTTAACAAAAAAATAAATTAATAAATTAAAAATAAAATATTACAATATTTTGAAGTGTTTAATTATAGTTGCATGCCAAGGTACAAGGTAATAAACTTAATAATTACACCTAATATGGGGTTAAAAATAATATTATTAGCAGAGGCGGATCAAAAATATATTTATATGTGTGTTTATGACTTGTATGAAAGTGGATTAGCAGGCCAGTCCTGATTTAAATTATTTTTTTACAAAATTTAAAAAAATATTTTGCGTCAATTTTATTTAAGTATGTTAATAAATAAATTGTGTAAAAAATAATTTAAATTTATATTTTTTAGGGAAAAATAAGATACGGTTATTTAAAACATAAGCTTTTTCCTCTGAAATAAAAAGTGTTTAAAAATAAAAAATATTTTTTTGTTAGTCCAAATAAAGTATAAACAACAAATAAATTGTGTAAAAAGATTAAGAAAATTTGCGGCCCCTAAAATTGTTCCGCCCTAGGCCCGGGCCTCGCAGGCCTAAGCCTAAATCCAGCCCTGAACGTAACAGATTACCTTTATAAGTATTAGTTTTTAAAATAATCAAAACAGTCTCACAATGTTGTTCAAAGCAGTTATTTATTTGTTAATTATAATAAATATAAATATAAACGCGTACATTAATAATAATAAAATAGAATCATTATCAACAGAAGAACAAATTAAATATTATGAACAATTAATTGACAAAAAAAATGGAAAAAGTTTTTGGTATCAAGTAGATGAAAATGCTGAGAGATACAAAGCAGATGCATCACAAGTTAAAGGTAAGAAATATTTAAAACAATTATAAAACATGAAATTTTTTTAGAATGTGCAAAAAAAAAGATTAAGTTGAAATTCATTTTAATTTTAAGCTATTAAAAATTTCCCGGTAATATTTTTTTTTCTATCCCAAATATAAAACACTTCATTTGTTTTTTAATTAAGCGTTTTTAAGTATAAAAACTAAACCATTGATGATTTTTAAACAAAAACTTTTATTAACTTTTTAACAAAATGTAGTTTATTTGTATTTTATGGTTTTAAATAAAAAAAATTAAATAAGGTAGACAAAAGAAAGGGAAACAAAGGCAATTTTATAAGAAAATTAAAAAAAAACTCAATTTTAATTTTAAATATTCATAAATATAAATTATTTTGAGATGAAAAATATTTTTACAAAGAGTCGGAACGAGAAATATCTACTACTTTGCCTAAAAGAAACAATTTGCAAGCCAAATTTGACTTATCAATGCACAATAAAATATCCAAAACTCAAAAAATTCATGAAGCCGTGAAATTTAAGAAAGTATTTTTCCACGCAAAATTTTAGCAATAGAAACTTAAGTGACTAGAATTTTTTGTAGGAAACATATACCTTAGACAAACTGTATTCAATCCACTTTTTTAAAATCACATCTTTTGCCTACGTTTTTCCGCTTTTTCCAATGGTAAACAGAGACCATTTAAAATTTGGTATGCAACAGAATCGAAAATTTATTTCTTTGCACAAGAGTATGCATGCCCAAAAATACATTTTATTTTTATGATTAGATCCGCAGAGCAATTTATAGGTAATTGTCATAGATTGAAAATAAATCATTTTTCTCTTTAAAATTCCATGGAATTTGAACTATATTTTTATTTCTATATAAGGAATTTTTATGTTTGAGTAAAAAAAACAATATCTGCCAATTATTGCCCATACGTATGCAAGAGTTTGCCAAGTTTAAAAAATTAACTTGTTTTAGAATTTGGAGATTTTGACTTTATAATTGTTGGGTCCGGAGCCGCAGGTTCAGTTCTGGCTAAAAGATTGAGTGAAGTTCCGGAATGGAAGATTCTGCTAATAGAAGCCGGAGATTTACCGGACGAAAGTACCCGTATGCCAGCCTTGGGCGTAGCAAATTTGGCTTCAGATTATAACTGGGGTTTCTTCAGTGTTCCACAAAAAAATGGATGTCAAGGTAAGAATCTTTTCTAAAATAACTACGTCTTTGTTTTGTTTAAAAACTAGGGGTAATGATGCACTCGCTCCAACCCTGCCAGGACACTTAACTACTAGTATAATTAAGTATACAATAACACACAAATTAAACACATATAAAAAATTTCAGATTACGTATTAAATCGAAAAACCTGTTATTTACAATGTTATAATATTTTATAAGTTTTAACAAATACTGGTTAGATCCATAAAACCGGTCCATAAAATTAATAAATAGTTTGTAAGTTATTAATTTATTAATTAATATTTTATTAGTTAACAGGTAGTAAATTAGTTTCTTGTTTTTAATTATAAACTTTACTTGGTACCTTGGAAATGTTGACATATGCCAGTGGCGAATTTTCGTTCATTCTGCGCATTACGTCACTCGATAGTAGTAGCTGCGCGAATACACGATTAATAGCAATATTATCAAAGAATATAGAGAAATATCATGTGTTTTTCTAAAATTTGATATTAAAGTATTTGGAAAAATATTTGATACTATTTAAATCTATTTTTTATTATTAAAAGAAAATACAATAGTTTTAACCAAAAATATTTATTTCAATATTTTGTTAATAATATTTCTAGATGCCGGATGCTTCTAAAAATATTAATTACCTTTTAAATCTATTTTTTTATTATTGAGTCAAGCCACGTCAAGTGGTATCAGAAAATTTCACGAAATCACCGATTTTAAAAATAATCACATTATTGTGTAGTAGGCATGACGCTTATGTCATAGTAAAAAAATTCATACATTCGTACATACTGAACGATTAATTAAAATAACTGGGCATGTTAATGCAAAATCTATAAATCCTTACTAACAATTGACGCGTTTCTCGGAAAAACATCATTAGTCCAAAATTAACATATTTGGGAAAATGAAAAAAACTCCGACATTCCCATTTTTGACCAAAGTACTTTATTGACCTATTTACTACATGTAAAAAAATGTAAGATAATTCGTCCAGAATTCCTCATGTTTGTTTTTTAAAACGAATATGAAAAAAACACAAAAAATACATGAACATGTGAGGTTTTTAGAAGAAAAAACGAACAATTCTCCTTACTACAAACACTACAAACAAAATATTAACTCTGAGTAACAAAATAAAATGAAACAACTAAAAACTGTATTACTGCCACACTCAGTCTTCGCATCCACTGCTGATATCATCGTTGTCTGGTCTTTTATCAAGTTATCATAAAATTTTCTATTGCTGTGGTCATGTAAAAGAGTGTCCAAAAATGTCACATGTTATGAACATGTGACTTTCTTAGACGAAACAGAGTGGACTTGTGATGTTTTTAGAAGAACAAGCTAAATTTCATATTTAATTATTATGGAACCTATGACATTTTTACGAGAAACACTTATTTGTATACGTATATATGGAGGTTAGGAAACAGTTGGTGCAAATATCTAAATTTCGACGATATTGGACTAATGATGTTTTTCCGAGAAACGCCTCAATTGGATGATAACCACCATTTAAATTTAATTTTCAATTTAAGAGATACTACAAGCACAAATCAAATTGATGGAAACACTGCCAATAATTAAATTTTAGAATCCAAGATTTATAACAATTGTGTTTTTCATGTTAATGAATATGTGAATTTTTTTCTTATTTATGTTAGAAAATACTTTGTTTTTTTCTTAATTTTATCCTAGTTATATATTTATGTATATATCTTCACATAATACAGTCGAGATCAATTTTTAACCCAATATTTTTTTAAAATTTATTTGAAACCTTTTTGCCGTTTAAAGGTTACTCTAAAATTAAGGTACATGCCCTTAACTCTTGACTAATTTTTAGGGCAAACAGATTTTCGACTAAAAAAAAATATCCGGTTGAAAGTTGACCCCTTGTGCATTGATTGACCCCCGATAATAAACTCGCTTTAAAACTTGACAAGTCCACGACGTAGTACTTTTCTTTAAAGCCTAAGCCGTCAAGTTTTTGGGCTTTCCTGTTCTGCGTATTTATACATCTATAGATGCAGTTACTGTAGCGTCAGTTGTTTAAATATTTTAAAAAACAAAACGACTTTACCACTATATATAAATATTTAACGTTTTCCATAAACACGGTAATAAATTATTATTTTATTTTATTATTATTTTTACAAGGATATCAAGGAAAGAGATGCAACATGGCAAGAGGCAGAGGTGTAGGAGGTACCACCTTGATAAACGGCGCCATGTTGTCCAGGTCCAACCACAAAGATCTAGACCAGCTAAACGCAATTGTCGAAGGCTGGTCCTACAAGGATATGCTGCCTTACATGTTGAAATTCGAGAACCATACTAAAACCAGAGACGATGCCCCGTCAAATCCCGACTATCACAATACCAAAGGAGAAATGCCCTCGCAATTCAACTCGATCAACAATAGTAGAACTCATGCTTTCTATAAGGGATGTCAGCAGTTGGGATACAACTATACTGATTACAACAGTGGCGGACAAGTGGGGTGTTCTCCCGTACAGTTTTATATTAATAACGGTAAATATAATTATTAGCATATTTAATGTTATATTATAAAAATATTTTACAGGAAGAAGAGTTGATGCCGGATCTGCCTTCGTCTTGCCCATTATGGATAAACCCAACTTTAAACTAATGACCAACAGTTTGGCAATTAAAATAAAAATTGACCCTGCCTCAAAAATCGCTGAGGGTGTTTATTTTTCTTACAAAAACCAAATCTACTATGCTGGGGCACGTAAGGAAGTTATTTTATCGGCAGGTGCTATTCAATCTCCACAACTTCTAATGCTTTCTGGTATGGGACCTAAAGAACACTTAGATAGTGTGGGAATTAGGACGCTCTTTGACTTGCCAGTTGGCAAAAATTTAAGGGATCACCATAGTATGACTTTCGTAGCACAACATAATCAAACAGATGACAACTACAAGTCTCCAAGAGAAGATATCGAAGATTACATTAACGGTCATGGTAGACTAACGAGTGATCAAGCAATAGCATCTGTAATTTGGTTTCCTACCAAGATTCAGGAAGATAAAACTCACCCTGATACAGAGTATATTATAATGCCTTACTTCTCGACAACTACCACAATTAATAACACCCCTCGTTATACATTTGCAAGCATTTTGGCTCAGGTTTTGGGGGTTGATTTAAGATTTCCATTTATGTTGGGAGTTTTTATTAACCTGAAGACCAAGTCAGTTGGTAGTGTGACGCTGAAAAGTAGCAGCCCCTACGATTATCCCCTGATAGATCCCAACATATTTGGTAATCAAGATGATCTGGAACACTTGTATCAAACTTACTTGGGAGTACAAGAACATTTTAATACGCCCGCAATGAAGGCAATTGGAGCTCATATGGCTAAACTCAGCGTTTCAAAATGCAATAAATTTAATGAAAAATCTAGGAAGTATTGGTACTGCATTTTGAGACATCTCGCTTTTCCTACATACCACCCCATTGGTACTTGTTCTATGGGCACTGACCCTAAAAAATCCGTGACCGATAAAGACATGAAGGTGCACCATTTCAATAATCTAAGAGTTTGTGATGCCAGTATTTTCCCTTTCACACATAGCAACAATCCTGTTGTTATTATCATGGCTGCAGCAGAAAAGTTGGCCGATACTATCAAGCAATCTTATCTATATAAAGCTTAAATAAAAATCTTATTAAGCACAAGTTTTTTTGTTTATTATTGTGTATGTTTGAATAAAACGTAATGCAGCTCTACTATAACAAGTAAAAATGTTCAAAGCAATAAAGCATTGAATGTAAAGTGGTTTAGTAAGCGCGTTATAAACGCTGTTACTTTGTAATCCAAAGCATATTGAAGTTCTATTTTATCCATACCAAAATCGATTGAATGGCGGGCATCGTAGAACACTCGAGACAAAATGTGTACTTGTCTTTAACTTGTGTATGGACTATGGAGCCTTAACTCTATTGAAGTGTATTAAGATAAACTTAATTATAAAGTTTATCTAACCATCGCACTAACTCAAACCTAAATAATCTTATATATAACTAATATACTAGTATAATGAAATTTTGTCCTTTTTGAAAATGTGACAATTAATTTTATAGAAGATAGTACCAAGTTATTATTTAACTCGGAATGTTATTGTTAATAATACAAATTTTAGTTACCTTTCTGCCTTAAGATATTTTTGTATGTAAAATGCTTACGAGCCACTATAAAATTTTTATTACAGCCAAACTTTCAACAATTCAGCAAGTTTTTATAGCACACTAAAGGTCTTAGTGCTTAATCAGAATAAATAATTTTACGTAATAAAATCCTTTTTTATAAAAGGGCAGTAACGGTGTTTTATAGTAACGGAAAAAGGTAAATCGACGTCGACTATAAATGGTGAGAAAAAAAATCAGGTCACTAGGAACAAATTTGTAGGTAATATGTATAAAAAATATTGTATTACAATTGTTAAGTGCTGCACAGAAAATCGTATCGCATGGTTGGCTAAATGGACTTGTTAATAGGCAAAATTGCCATTATTGGAATGAATCCCACCCACAAGCAATACACGAGGCTCCTTAGCATAGGCACTATTTATTTTAAAGTATGGAAACGTTACCGTTATTTATCAAGGTGGACATGGTGATTATTTTACACAACATTTGTTAATATTGCTATGGACGACCTTTATATTTAAAAAGATGTCGATACTTGCAACATCGCGACCTGAGAATTAGATTGTTCTATCTCCCAAAATTTAAAGAGGAACAAATAGCAGTTTAAAGTTTAATTTATATACAAATGAAATTTTAAAAAGCTGTTTTTCCGTGTCAGATTTTTAAAAGATAGAATCTCCCAAAACCTAAACACGCAAAAACAGCTTTTTAAAATTTCATTTGTATATAAATTAAACTTTAAACTGCTATTTGTTCCTCTTTAAATTTTGGGAGATAGAACAATCTAATTCTCAGGTCGCGACATTGTAATAATAAAAAAAAAATTGTGGCTAAACCAAATTACAAGTTTATAGCAACAATCTCACACAATTGCCAATTGGCTTCTAAATTTTTAATGCCTTATTGGTTAGCATTTAAACTTGTCAAATAGGTATTGGCGTTAAGAAACTATTTAATACTTTTTTCCTCATTTCCTCATTATTATTGCACAAGAAGAGCACTTTATTTTAACGATTGTATACATGAAATATATGTAAAATTTTACAACTGTCAACTAACTTAAAACTAACTTTCCGTGACTAATGATAAGTTCAGACCGTGACTAAAGCACCATAAAGCCACAACTTGTCAACGTGTATTTAAAAGATCACTTAGTGTCATAAAAACACGTACGATAATGGTTTGGCGTTTTAAAGGTGGAAGTAGAAAAAAATAATTTAAAATGATTCAAATTTTTTATAAAATAAAAGTTTTCATTATGTTTTGTTTTCTCAAATCCAGTTCTATTTTTATCTACTGATACAGAATTTTAGTGATTAACTGAAATCACGTTTTAATTTTTACATTTTCACAACCTCAATATTATCAACACTATATAAGTAAATATATATATAATAATACTTACAATTTAATACATAGTAATAATAATTATTCATACAAATTATTGTAATTTAGTTTACCTGATAAAAGAAATCGTATTTGTGATATATAAATCATTTTGTTAATGATTTTTAAGTTGTTATCTTATTTGGTAATGTGGTAAGTACAATGCGAATGCATATACTAATATAAACAATATTAATAAATAAAATTTGTAGCACTACAATTTTTGAATTATTTAAGAAAACCTCATCAATATCCCATACATAATTATCGATTGAATAAAACCATAACAGGAATTTAATTAAGTTGTCCAAAATAAATTCACTTCAGCAGTATGGTTTATGCCCACATGTATTTTTTTATAGCATAATTTAATTTGAAATTATTTTAAATAAAAACACGTCTAATAGTTTGTCATTAGGTTAAGAAGTAAGGCTTTTTGTGCTTAGCACAATTTTGAAGGCCGACGCGTAGCATACAACATTTTATCTTCAAAGTACAATTACTAAACATAAAATTGGTTATAAATCCAGAAGTGGCCAAAGTGTTTTCCACTGTAATACAGTGACTGTATTAATATTTGTATCCCTATTTCTCATTTCTTCATCTAATATCACATCATAATCATTTGATATACAATATCTAGCAGAAGTTGCAGCAGTTTGTTGTGTTGTCAATTATTGGTGTTAAGATTTTTAATGCTGTGTCTTTTTTGTTGATGGGCGACTCATCAATATACCCCTCAGCAACTGTAGTTGACTTCCATCCTCCCAATTATTTTTAAAGAAATGTCCCTACCGTTATCCACTAAAAGCGTTGCTGATGTTCTTCGTAGACAGTGTCCTGTGTATTCGGAGCCATTGGGTAAATGTAAAAAAGAAGCCAAATCCTTAGCTGTTTGTGCAATTTTATGTCTTCCCTTAACTATTCTGTGACATTTGTTGATATGATATTTAATGAAGAACCTTTGTGTATTTAAATCTTTTGGAGGAAGAGCAGTACTGCGTATACGTATATTTACGATACAGATTAATATAATATTCACCTATAATAGTAAATGCTCGTGGTTTGTTTGTTTTGTTGGTGGGAATTTTCACTAATATTAAATTGCCCATATCACTAATATCATTTACAGTTAAATTAATTAACTCGTCACATCTACATGCACCTGTTATCCCAAATATCAATACAACCTAAAATAATTAATTCATACATACTGGGTTTTTCCCACCATGGTGCTTTTTGTAGAAACTGTTGCCATGTATCCTTTACCATTTTGTTTCAAAAACGTTATAAGTTTCGAGTATGTGTTTAGGTTAATGTTGTGTTTAACATTTAATTTCGCTTTGATCATTGAAAAATTTGACTATAAAGTAGAACTTTGATAACTTATAGTATACTTATAAGCCAACAAAACACTTTCAGAAAAGTTCACTGCCTGTTGCTCATCACAAAATTTAAAAAAACGCTGATAAGAATCTTCATTAGGGTGCTTCAAAAAATAAAAATTATTTTTTTTTTCGCTCTTACCCTCTCAAATGTTTCTACTTAATATAAAAAAATCCTCACCAAATATGGGCTCCTCAGCTTAACTCTTAGAGGTCGCTGTTTTTATTTTAGTTTCCCATTTAATTAAAATGGGAAAAAATAATTTTATGTTTGGAATTTTTTTAGGAATAACTGAATTAATAGCCGAATTGGCAAGTTCTGCCAGTTCAGGTGGTGTACACTGAATAGAAGAGCTATTTCCATCAATTTTAGAAACCAGCTAAAATACAACTGTGAAATCCACAGAAACGTCAAATTGCAATATTTAATTTTACAATAATTAGTGCTTATTAAAATTTATTAAACCAGTTTAGTACGCTAATTTCTTAGAAACGGATTAATTTGTCAAAACAATACCCCTAGCGAGAAAAAATCGAACTAATTACTTGCCTCATCGAATGTTGAAAACAATAAAGTTTAAATTATAGACCGCGTAGAGATGAAAAATTTTTAAGGCACTAAATATCCTAAAACCATGAAACAATACATAATCTGTCTCATTGTCGTAAAATTAAGTTGTTAATATCTACTTAACAATGCATAAATAATTGGTGAAAGTTAGACAAAAGAAGGTACTTAATGTATTTTACACAAAGTTAAACTGGCGAAATGCTTCCTTAACGATTTCGTTTGACAAAGAGATTAGGAAACTTCATAAATTAAGCAAGTAACCTAATAATAATTAGTTGATGCGTTAAAATGCTGGAAAAGTATGCCCGAAAATAATATATAATTAGGCGAAATTTGCTTAAGCCGCCCTGTGAATGAAACGTAATCCTGAATAACCTTGACAGAGGAACATTATCTTTATAGCAGCGCAAGTAAATATTTGATGGGTGTCTACCAGGACATTATCTTAACGCAGCTCGCTTAAAACACTTTTCGGTCATGATTAAAATTTAAACTTTATTCCTATTAGATGCCTATAAGAAGCCAAACCCTTTAAAAGCTTTTCTTCGTGATTTACTTACCCCGAATAATAAAAAATCATTATTGTCTTAAGATATTTATCAATTATTTATAAGGATAATCACGTAAATCGTATTACATTTTCCTTAACCCTAGATAGCCAACGTTCAAAATTTATACTTTGATGCCAACAATACGTAAATTTTACCGTATATATTACAAATATGTGCAAAAATTGTTTCAAACCATACGACTTACTTTATTGCCAAGATTACGTAAAATATACGTAGGTATAATATACGTGAAATATACGTATAACAACCATACGAATTTGCCAACTATACATAAAATTTACGCGTGGACTATCACTCTATATTCAGTCACTGACAACCCACACCTGCCACATCAAAAACACGTCGGCTGCCAAAAGTAGTGATGGAAGGGAAAGCACTGCTTGAGCGGCGAAACGAGGATGCCAATATTAGGTAAATTATTTCAGATTAAAAAAAAACTTTACGTAAATTTTACGTAGGTTGGCTATCTAGGGTTAAGATAATTTTAACTCAACATAACTTTATGTTAAGTTGTCAACCAAGTGTAATCTGTTTACTCATTGAATAAGTAAACTATAGTTTGTAATTATAATAAACAATTTGTAGATTTAATAACAAAATCCTATGTAA